TATACTTACCATTGACAGGGCCATAGATGGTCATTTGTGTTACGCTGTTGGCTGGGCGCATCGCCATGTGACTTGGCAAGGAAAATAAAAAAGTCCCAAGACAAGATGCTCTGACTTGCTTTCAGCACATGTTGGGTAAACATAGGAGTGTTGGAGACAGCTAAGTTTCTTCTATATTCAACACACCATTTACATTACTAAATTTCACCCTTTTTTTTTTTTTTTTTAACTTTAGCCCCTCTGTAATAAATAAAAAAATTATTGGGGGTGATTGTGATGGAAAATAAAATAAGTATTATTTGTAAATAAATTTAAGGGTATTGGACAGTAGGTCTGCAAATAGTTAGACTAAAGATACAGAATGAGCTGACAGTAGTAATCTTACAGGACTTTCTCTTTCCAACCAGGGGTGACCTGAAGTATTTCTGTCATCATCCAAGAAAGTCAAATGATGCTGGGAACTAAAACTGTGTTGCTTTAGCCAAATTAGGGAAAAGAGACTTCTATGTAATTTAGCAAAAATTGAAGAACAAGGTTCCACTCATGTCCTATGGAGTGAAAAGTTGAACTGATAGGGATTTAGAGTCTCTATTGTCAACACCAAGAAACGAATTATAAAATTTGCAAGTGAACTGCAACATTTCAATATTCTTGTTACTGATTTAATTAAAAAGGAAAATGCAGTCTACTTTTTAGTACTGAAATATGTATTGCTGGCGAGATGACTGTTGCTAGAATTGAACCATCTTTATGACAAAAAAGAAAAGATCAACTGTTAAATGTAAATAACTGATTTTTCAGTTTTCTGTCCTAAAGAAGCTTGCTCCCCTTTTTCTTATCTAAACACTCTCCTTTGGGCTGATATCATAAGTAGAATTATTGTCAGAAAACACTTTCTGGGAAATGTGGATAGTTGGAATATCAAAATTAATCTTTGAGTGGAAAATATGATAATATTATCATTTCTAATTTTGTTGCTACCAACAAAAGTATACTGTTGTGCCAGAATGGTACATTCATATGCCATGCATTAAGTAGACAGCTTCTAAAATTTCTGCTTAAATGACCTAAATGATATATAAACAATGACACACTTGTATATAATAAAGTATTTGTATATTAAATATACAGAAAAGGTATATGTGCATATGCTGAAACTTTGTAGACATCTGGAGTATTGAGATAAAGTTATGATTTCCAGCTGGAACATGACACTTTTTAAGCAAGGCAGTCTGAAGTATTTTAAGATGAAAGACCACACAGTTAATTTTGATCTCAATGCCATTCAAACAACCGTATTGTGGACGAAAAAAAGCCAGTGCATGGTCTGGTTGTCTGGTTTGCTTCACTGCTGAACGTTTTGTTCCTTTTTTTTTTTTTTTACTTCATTAACAGTTTTGAGTGCTCTTCATATTAGTTTTTTTAGTCTTTGTTGTTCTGCTAGTGAATGTCTGCATTTCTGAAAGAAATTCTTATTTCTATTTGAACTGATAGTACTGCAATTAGCAATTCCTTAGAACTGTATTCAGTATCTACTAAGACATGTCTCAGGACCTACAGTTAACAATAAAGCCTGGAAAAAAAATGGGACTAAAGACATGGAGAAGTTCAGTTCACCATTTCCTTAGGTTACAAATTTTTTCTTGGAAGTCTTTGCTCGTGGATGGTTCTAACACAGAAGTTGGTCCCTTGTCTCCATTAAAATGTACCTCATTAAAAGTATGTCAGTAGTTAGGTCTATCTGATCGGCCCACGTAGGCTACAGCACAAATCAAGGCTGAAGTTGTCACTAGGTAAATATCTGAGGCTTATTATTGAAACAGGGCCATTGAATGAAATAAGCAAGAAATGAAAAGAAACCTAGTTAAGAACTTCATAATTTTTACCATTACTTATGTTATCTGGATTGCTCCTTTACAATATCTTAAGCATCTTCAAATTGTCTTATAATCAGTCTTTTTTAAGAATTGAAGGTTCTGTTAACTTCTATTATGCATATACTTTTTTCCCCCCTTCTTGAGCTCAAAAAATGGACTTTTGCAGCAATGTTTTAGCTCTGAAGAAATAGGGCTATTCAAGATACACAAATGCTTTGAACTTTCCCTGCCTTCTGGCTTTCCTAGACCATAGCTCAGTGGAACTTTTACCTTCTCCCCCACCAGCACTGCATGTCTGATCACCTTTTTGTCTATTTTTCCTTCCTACAGGGACCCTATAAAAATACAGCAGCTGCAGAACCAAATTCGTCTGGAGCAAGAAAGTGGCCAGTGGTATCGTCACCAACAGCAACCTGATCATCAGCAGCACCCTCCCTCTTCTCCTTCCTTTCCTCCTCCCCCCTCCTTCCAGGAGCCTGAGTCCAGCCAGTCTGTCATTTCTCCTGTGCCAATGAGTATTCTTAACTCTCATACTTCCCCAACCATGCAGTCTTCCAGCTCCTTCAACTATGCTCGGCCTAAGCAGTTCATTGCTGCTCAGAACATCAGCCCTGCTTCAGGTTACGTGACTCCATCTTCAGGATCATCTACATCCAGCCTTCCTTCTCCTATGTCTCCAACTGCTTCTCAGAAACAGTTTGGGAGAGTGCCTGTTCCCCCTTTCTCTCAGCAGTTTGCTCCAGAAGGGGAGTATGCCTGGTCTCCTTCTTCTCCATCCCCTCCGCCCCCACCTCCACCTGTCTTTAGTCCAACCGCAACATATCCGGTGTGTGATTCCTTTCCCCTTCCACCTCCTCCACCCCCTCCTCTTCCTTCGCTTTCTTCGCCTTCCCACAGCCTGTCTCCAACTCCCAGATTTCCTAATTCCGGCCAGTCTCCAGCAGCTTTTCTCAGCTCCATGCTACCATCCCAGCCACCACCCATTTCTGTCAACGCATTAGGCCTCCCGAAAGGAGTGACGCCTCCGTAAGTATCAGCTAATGAGCTCCTTGAGTTTGACTGTACTGAAGATTGTACTGAAGATTATTGCATTTGCTCCTTTTATACTATTGTAGGGTCTTTTGCTGTTACCTGCTACCTGAGAGGGAGAGATGCATTAATTATTTGCAAACATCTCTGCTAGAGATGGGATATAGTTTCCCTAACCCTCACAAAAGTGAGACTCTGAAAGAGTCCTACAATAGGAACACAAAAGAGGAGAAGCTAAAGCTTTAAATTGGAGTTGATGAAAATATGAAAGCAGCAGCAAAAGGCTCTGCATGCCCAGGGCGGTGGAAGGAGATCCAAGAAAACCCTTCTGACCTAGTTCTTTTGAAGTCCCATAGTCAGTGATGTTTGCAGTCCATGTTCCTGTTATGTCTGCAGATAGAGAAATATCAAGTAGAGAGAGCATTGTTCAGAAGTCCCTATAGCTTTGTGATACTTAAAGTATAAGGCATTAAAGCATGCATCTGACAACCAAGTGGTCATAACGATATATTGACTTTTGGCTAGAGTTTTTTGTTCTGAGGAAGTTTGGAAAAGGGTTTAGGAGGGGATTTAGAAAAGCAATGCATAAAACCAAACAGAATCCCTCCTCCTAACAACTCTGCATACTTGTTTTCCCCTTTTGTCTTCTCTAAAGGCCAAAATAGTATTTTGGAGCATGTCAGCTCCCATCATAGATCAGTTTGTCTTTCCACTGGCACTAGGCTCTCATTCCATCTTTAGAGAACAAAGAGACATGCTGAAGAACAAAAATGAGAATAGCTGTATCCAAGGCTTATTTATAACTTTGTCTAGAAGTTTGTCTAAACATATCTACAGTATCTAGGTGACTTGCTCGGCTACATACCGTTGCAGTGGGAACTTCTATTATTTCAGTCCAAGATATGAAAAGGAAGAGAAGGAAGAAAGTGGACAGATATCAAAGTAATAAATCATGTATATGTTTTAAAAAGCATTTCTTTATCTTGATTTCTGTCATATGTCTCATTATGGAGTCTGGCCATAAAACAGATTTAGGAGAAAAATTAATAAATAATACAGTTTGCCCTTGCACTCATAGTTGTGATTTTCTGTCTTACTGTGTCCTTTGCACTGGCTGAGTTTCTTTATTGATACTGACTGCTGAAAGTTGCATGATTAATTTACTGACAGCTTGACAGGTAAGCACAGCCCACAAAAGGCTGCAATTATCCCTGATTTTCCAGGAGAGGCTCTAGTGTAGCTATATAGTTCTGGATAGGAACTGGATTCTCTTTCAAGTTCCCTTCTATGAGGGTGACAGCAGCAGCCCGAGCCTCTGCTGCAATATGCTACGCTCATGCACACATCTTCTCACTTGAGGCATTAGCTGTGTTCTTCCTCATTCCCTTCAACCAGAGGGAATGACAGAGACACAACTCTGCAAGGATGCTTCCCCCTTCCCCATGCCCCTCGCTTGCCCAAGCCCAGCAGCCAGTCTGGGTGTGCACGTGATGGTGTGTCTATCCCCTCGGCACAAGGCAGCAGCCTCAGGCTCTGAGCTGAGGATGAGGTGGTTGGCTGTTTGGCCTGCATTCCCTCAGGAAATGTCGTCCAGATGGGAGCTGGATTATGTTAACCATACTGAATGTATGTGTGTATAATTTATGTATATGTATATATACATATGTGTGTATATGTATATATATACAAAATGAGCATTTGTCATCTGAATTATAACATTAAAACATGGTAAAAGATGTACTGTGTGATGAAAAAAAAACAAAACCCACAACCTATTATATTGTGTCTTTGATGCCAACTTTTCCCTGGCCTCTCCTTTTTCATTTTACTGTGTAGGTTACTAATGTCTCATGTGTCTTGCTGAGTAAATCATTCTGTTTCCCATCATTCTCATACCACTCCTGAGCATTTCTTCCCCTTGCCTCCCTTCCCCCCACTGCTTTTGGTCTCTTCTGCTTTGTGCTATAGTCTCAGTTCTTCCTTGCCCCCCCCCCCCCCCCCCCCCCCCCCCTTCACTTTTTGCTTTTTTTCCCTCGTCTTTTGCTCCATCCTCACAAATCCTCTTTTCTTGAACACATTTGTCTTTTGAGACGTTGTTGGTTTTGAGCCACTCACAGTATTCCATAACCTCAGCCTATAGTCTCACCAGGTACTCCATGATTTCCAAGATCCATTGATTGAAAAAGATGATACTGTTTCCTGTCAGTGTGCTGTACAGAATGGGTGCAAGGAATGAATTGGAGCATTCAAAGTTCTGCTTCAGCTCAGCATCTAAAATGCTAGTCAAGCCATTGAGCTTTGTCTCTGCTTCTTGATCAGTCATATAACGGTGATATTGAGAATATGATAGTGGGTTGCTGAAAGTGAACTAGGCAGAGTTTGAAATACCTTTCATGGAAAGGAGGTACATTTTTTTACTGCAGACTCCAAATACAGTGTTTGAACTGGTAGGATTTCCTCTTTAGACAATAACTTTATGATTTATTATTATATTTTAACATCAGTGGAAGTAGACTTGGACCTGTCATTGCATTTAGATACTTCAACACTTTCATATCAAGTGCCTCTAGCAGATAAAATGCTCTTGAAACAGTTTTCCTGTCTGCTTTCAATGTTTTCATGGCTCCTTTCTCTTGCCTAGTCTTTCTTGTGTGTGTATTTCAGGGTTGGTAATTCACTGTTCGTATTCTGATTATATGGTCTTTTTACCATGGTTGTTTACTCTCTTCTCTCCCAGGCATGGGTACTGTGACACTAATAGCCAAATATCCGAAAGAAAACAGTATATATTTAGCCTAGCTAGAGTCTCTTGTAATTAACAAAAAGCATTGTTTGGCAGAGTAAGAAATTCTGCAGACTATTTTTATAAGTTATGCATCTTGATATACTGTGGAATTTATTGAATGTTTAATTTTTCGCACATTTCAATGATTTTTTCATTACTAAATCTTAGCACAATTATAGATCCGCTCCTCAGAATCACTACTTAGTAGGCATCATTCTTATTTTCTTCAGATTGCTTTTGTGGTAGGAGCAGAACAAAGGTAAAGTAATAAACATTGCAGGTGGAGGTAGTAATTTTTGGAGGTGGTCAAAGGCTGCATCAGTGAAGTTTTCTGTAAAATGGAAGACTCAGTGGTTGTATACAAACCAACAGAGTCTTCATTTCTCCTCATGGAGTCAGACCTTCCCTCCACTAGCTTTCTTCAGGCATTTCCTTTCCAGTGTATGTATCATCTTTGTTGTGCTTAAAAGAGACGTTAATCCAAGGAGGTGGTGTGCCTCTTCTTATGCAAGAGGTCAAATAAAATATTTCTAACTCTCTTCCACCCCTGTATTCCATCTGTGAGCCCATGAGCAGTAAATACCATGCTAATGTTTCAGCTCAGGCTTGGCATTTTCCTTGGTTTTGGACCCTGAGATTCTCGGGAAGTGACAGCATTATCTAAACCAGTTTGATCACATGAATATTCTTTCCAACTGATAGACTTGGAAACATTGCACTGGGGTTTTTTTTGTTTGTTTGGGGTGGGGTTTTTTGTTGTTTTTTAACAACATGTAGTTTTACAGTCTTGCCTGAATCACGGCAGTAGCTACTTGTGAATTTACTGCATTTTATTTGGACTTCTGAAACATGGAAAGCAGCTTTGTATCATTAGTACCTACTAGTTCACCTTTAAATATTTTAAGCATTTATTTGCAACAATTGTATGGTAAATGTTTCAGTTGCATAAAATATATCTCATCTTTCCAGTAAGCTCTAGACACTTTGTAGTGACTAGCGTTTTCAAGCTGTGACTGTGGTGGTGTTAGCTGAACAAGCTTTGGGAATAACCTTTTTTTGTATTAATGGGGCAGATTTGATAAATTCATGTCTTGCCAGAGCATAGTGTTATTAAACAAAAGAGAAGTGCTGGTGGAACTGCATAGCTAATTAAGTACTTAAGGGAATTATGAACACTTGTCAGTTATTCTGAGGTAAAACTTGGCTGGAGTAAGATTGTTGGGTACTGTTCTTAAAAATCTCAGTTCTTTTTTTCTTTACCTAAAGAAAGCTCTAGGGCGGGTGGATGTGTTGGACCCAGGCTAGCTTTCGGTTACAAAAGACTTGCAGGGAGCAGAGTTAATGTGGCAGAAACCTAGAACTGAGGGGGTTTTGTTCACAGTTAGAGCTGTAAAAGCTAGAATCTGGTCTTCACTGTTCATAGAAAAAACAAATTATATCTGTATGAAAAGAAATAAGTATACTTACAAATTCTAGGTAAGCACTTACATTGGTAAGTTTACATGAGCATTTGTGAAACCAATATTAATCCCAAGAGAAGGATTTAGTGACTATTTAGTGAATATTTAAATAACAAGCATATAAATCCTGCTACAGAAAGGTGTGGAGTTACCCAACCTGGAGAAATGAAATCTTAGTATAAAAAACATGTGGTCAGCTACACATACATCCTTTTGAAAGCAACTTAAAAAAAACTACAATAAAGTAGACTTTTTCTTAAGGTAGATATCCTTAGTAATATTGCCTTAGTCACAAACAGAAAAAAATTTGACTGTACAGAACTGGTGAAAGAACATGACTCTAGATTTACTACTTTCTGGAAAAGAATGCAAGACAGAAAAGAAAACATTGTTTAAGACAAGATTGTCTAAAGTAGCTTGTAAAATGTAATTAAATAAGCTGCTTTTATCACTCTACATAATAAATTTAACTGCTGTGTCAATGATCTCTAGAACCTTATATCCAAATCTTAAAGGAGATTCTGTGGGAGTAATGAGAATAGCAACATCAGAGAGCGAGCTGCACTTTTTTTCCCCTTTGAATCAGAGCTGCTGGTCTGTTCTTGCAGCTGTGTACTGTGACTTGTCCATTGAATTCTGTCTCAAATAGCACTGAAGCAAATATTTTAGTAATCTTTATGTTCCTTGAGTCAGTTAGCAATGATGGTGACCACTCTGATGAAAAGCTACACTTCTCCATCTTTGTATCTTAC